ATTCCTGCTCCTGGAAAGCCACTAACTTTCTGATTTCAGTTCCAACCATTTTCTAAAACACCTGCAGTCAGCTGCAAAAAACTGCCTTAAGTTAAGAAAACCCCAAGTGGCTAAGTGTGGTGTCCCATACTCTGAATTTGTGCTCTGCATTTAACCCATCCAAGTGCACACACACAGCAGTAAGTAGTGAACACACACACACACTGTGAACACACACCCGGAGCAGTGGGCAGCCACTTTTTGCTGTGGGTTCAGTGTCTTGCTCAAGGGGACCACTGTTGTGGGTAATGCGGGTGGAAGAAAGTGCTGGTCATTCACTCCCCCAACCTACATTTCCTGCCGGTGCTGAGACTCAAACCCGCAACTTTCAGGCTACAAGCCTGACTCTAACCATTTGGCCACGACTACCCATAAACATAATTGTGTTTCAACTGGACACTGTCAGTAATTTCCATGTAAACTCAAATGCTTTGATTTGTTGATTCAGATGCATTTAATTAAGTCAGGGTGTCCAATCCTGCTCCTGGAGGGTGTGTGTGTGTAAAATATTTATTGTGGTAATAATCACCTCTGGCACCTCTAACCGACAGCAAACCTTCATTGCAAGGTACTTCTTTGATGCCATTCAGGAAAACAGTGGTACGTATATTTGATATCTTACAATGAACATGATAGGAGAGAGCTTCTCATATCGGTAGACAATAGTATTACTCGTATTTATCGTATTTATTACAGGTTGCCCACGATTCATAAGGGCAGACAGAGGAAAGGAAAATCTTCAGATGCAAGTGATGCAAGTGGCATTTCACTTCCGGGAGTCTGGTGATCAAGGACGAGACTCCTTCAGAGTGGGCACATCAGTACATAATCAGGCATGTGAGCATAAATGGATTTATATATTATAATGCATGCAAAATATATATTTTATAACAAGAAATAATATTTATTTTGTTTTATTTGAATGCTGAATGCTTCAACAGTATGCTGAAGAAAACATGGATCAAAAAATGGCAGGTGACATTTGCTTTGTTTTTTGTTTTATTAGCGAGCTGAATGCTTCAACAGTATGCTGAAGAAAACATGGATCAAAAAGTGACCTTTGACATTTGAGGTGAACTTTGTTTTTGTCTCAGTTGGAATGTATAGCACATGCTTATTGATGCTAAATTGAAGGCATTTTGTAATAGATATACTCATCTAAAAAATGTGTGTTTTTAGGCCATGATGGAATCTGGCATGCTCGATTTGGACAATCCTGTACACATGTAAGTTAAAACTTCTTGTCAGCCCTCATGTATCTGCACTCATTAAATGAAAAAATAACAATACATGCCAACCTACAGAAATTGCCTGCAATATACACACCTCCCCCTCCTTGAGAGAGAGCTGAACATAGAGCAAAGACTGTGGAACACTCATGACATTCGCAAGCAAAGGAATGTTCCAGGTCAATCTGGGAAACCAGACCTTCTCTTTACTTCCCCACCCGAAGGTATCTGTTTCATCCAAATTAAAAAGGTTCAGAAAAGCAGTATCCAATGTGAAAAAGGAATTTGTATCTTCCTGCAGGCTTTGCTGATATGCTCTGCAAAGTAGACAACGACCTCCTGAAGTATGCAGAACAGCTTGTTTGTGGAGTAGATGAGCCTTTGTTGGTGGCAAATGAAGAATTCAGAAAAATATCAGAGGCTATTCTGCAAAATACAAACTTCCCATCATCACCAGACGGGTCTTTGGCGGCTTACCTCATGTTGGTGGATAAATTCACCAGTCCTTCAAACAAGCATTCCCATTCCATCCACATTTGCAGAGGCAAATGAAATATACCAGCTGCTGGCCAATGAGACAGGGACTTTTTAACTGCTTATACAACTAAATAAATCCATATAAAGGGACCAAATGATTAAAAAACTGCTACAAATGAAGATGCAAAACATGTTTAATGATGTGAACATACATTGAAACAAATAATAAAACATACCAGCAGTGTTAGACAGAGAGAGAAGGGCTGTGATTATAATGTTAACATTTTACCAACATTGGTATTTGTACCACAAACTGAAAATGACAAGAAATGTTACACTGTCCATGTGATAATCCATAACATTTACCATTCGTAACCATAACGGCTCTTTAAATCTGGTCCCTCCACTGTTTTTAGGGACAGCACCACAGAGGAAGCTTCAGGT